CTACCATCACCTACTCCACCTACTACACCTACCACCACCTACTACCACCTACTCCACTACATCTCCTATATAAGGAGCCCCTCACCATTTGTAAAAAAATATCAATCAATCAATAATACAATTCTCTATTTCTCTTTATACATTAAATTTTAAATTTTCTACACTGATATTTTCTGAAATTTCACAAAACTTTCATGTTTTTGCCTACTTTGCTATAATGTTTCATTGTTTTGCCTAACAAATGACATTATAATCAATACATCATCAATTTTCCTATTCTTTTGAGATTATATTGTGCAATCCAGAAGATCAGTCTGTTGTATATGGTTAGGACCTTGCACACACCATATGGACAACCAATTATATAATGTGTATCTTCAATAGACTAACCGAATGGAAAAGATCACACTGCATTCAGACTGAATATTATCACAAAGAATTACTACTAGAATTACTTGTTACAGATAATACTAGTTATGTGTTTTATAGAGAGGGGAAAACAACTACTCTGGAAACAAACAAGGGGAAAGAGGCCTTTATTAATAAGAACATAGTTTCAAGATCTTGAATAAGAGACCCCAATTGTCTGCACTCCTGGTCTTGGCGATTCCTTTTTTCTGAAATAGTAACAGGGTCTTAGTTGTAGAATGCCAGATAAGTAGTGGATTTCTCTTCGCTAATAAAAGGAATCAACATTTGAAATCTAAAATCAAAGAAAAGATTGAATGGGTCAGTATCAGCTACTTCTACCATTATTCAAAATAAAAAGTGGCAAAAAAAGGCAAAGAGAAAAAAATAAAAATAAGCTCGAGTAAAAAAGATATGCAGTTGGCCTTTTGAGTAACAATAGCATAAGGGATATTTTAATACGTCGTAATAACAAGATTACCAGATATAACCACTGGCAATGCCTTTACTAAGAATAGCTAGCAATGCCATTACAAAAGAATAACTATTTTAAATAACTATTTTACCAACTGTCCAGCAAGAACAACTCTGTGTGGTCTTTTAAAGAAGCGGAGATTCGCTTCATGTCCCAAACTCCAGATGTTTCTGTTATATGTTGAATTTTCTTAATGAATTTATCATACGGTCTGACACGACCATACAGTGTCTCTTATCCTCTTTTATTTTTATGTATTTTCTTGTTTTGTTACTCTCTCCAAACTCAAGTTGGTTAGTTTCTATCCTCCTTGAGTTTGCGGGGGGCTGTTAAAATTTACCATCACCTACCACCAATTTACCATCACCTACCACCACCTACTCCTCACCTACTCCTCACCTACTACACTCACCCTCTCCTATATAATGAGCCACTCACCATTTGTAATATATGCAATAACATTATATGAATCAATAATACAATTCTTTATTTCTCTTTATACATTAAATTTCTACAAAATATATAGGAAGCAAACAGAAAGAGAACATAAGGTGATTTCTAGAACTTTGCGTGAATTTTGTAGATTTTAAAACAATATTTGCCTGAATTGTGATGGTTTTCAAACAACAACGGTAGATGGATTTTGTTTTTCCCTGATTACATTGATAATTAATTCCCACAAATTTACAGTAAGCATATGTATAATAGTTCATCTCAGAAAACTATAAATTGGTTGTAAGCAAGTAAGAATACTCTTTCTTACCAAGCACAAGAAACTATGGGTTTAACAGATCATAAGCCACATGGTCCCTTTATTTTCTTTCCAATAAGAATTATATGCCACTATTTTTCCACAACAACAAAAACACAACCTTAAGAAAGAAAGAAGTACCTCGGTGTCAAAGCGAACTGTGCAGGTGAAAGATTTTCCAGTGTCAGTCCTAACAGTAACATCTTGACCAGGCCTTATCTCGTTAATTTTACTGGGAAGGTCAATGGTATAACCCTCATGACCTGTCAAGCCAAGTGAGTCTGCATCTTCACCAGGCTTGAAACAAAGCGGAACAATACCCATCCCAACCAAATTACTGCGATGTATCCTCTCAAAACTCTTTGCAATCATTGCTTTAACTCCCTGTTACATTCCAATAGTTACTAAAAGGAGCAGAAGACGACACAATACAAGCCAAAATGGATGGAGAAGTGCGAACTAGTTCAAGTGCCCATATAACAATACTCACCAACAACATTGGGCCTTTAGCAGCCCAATCACGAGAGCTTCCACTTCCATACTCTGCTCCAGCCAATACAATAGTATCCTGTCCAGCAGCCTTGTACCTCTGAAAAAGTGGATTGACCACAAAAATTTAGTAATGAAGAGTAAATTGTAATAGGGAATATTATTACTATCTTTCAGGAATTGATAATTTACAGGAAATGACTTCAAATAAGATTTTACCTTTTGTTTATTTGTGGCATATGAAAGTTCATTTCTCAGCAATGTTGTTCAAAGTAACAGAATTTTGTTTAACGAAGCTGAATTCTAGACCCAAGTCATTAAAAAAAAATATGAGAGATCTCTTAATGATGACAACCCTAATTGTATTTATAAGCAACAAACAATTTCACAATAAATCTGATTACATCCTTCATCATTGTGGAAATTAAAAGCATTAGTATCATAGATGTTGGCAGTTTTATTGTTTGGCACAAAACTGACAAAGACATGACTAGGCAGGATGAAAGTATATGCAGAAAATTAACATTTAAAGAACTGACTGCTGCTGCATCAAACACATAACGTTTCTCCCCTGTAGGAACATGAAGTGTCTTTGGGCCAACTTCCCCATTTAATAGCGTGTTGACAATACGGATATTTGTAAAAGTTCCTCTTGCCATCACTTCATCATTACCACGACGGCTACCATAAGAATTGAAGTCCTTGCGTTCCACCCCATGCTCAAGGAGATACTTTGCAGCAGGACTATCCTTGTTAATGCTTCCTGCTGGGGAAATGTGATCCGTTGTAATACTATCACCAAAGTTCAGCAAGCAGTGAGCATCCTTCACTCCACTGGGCCCAGGAGGATCCATGGTCTTGTTCTTGAAATATGGTGGCTCATGAATGTAGGTAGAATTGGGGTCCCATGAGTATAGTTTAGAAGCTGGAACTGATAGGTCATTCCACATGGGATTGCCCTTTGTTATAGACTCGTAAGTACTCTTGAGCATGTTTGGCAATACACTGGATTGTACAACCTAAACAGCATTTCAGCCCAATTTCATTTATTTTACAAAATAAAAACTTCGTCAAAGGATCTAGAAACTCAAGATTGTGTACCTCTGCAACTTCTTCAGTAGATGGCCAGATATCCTTGAAATAGACATTCTTGCCATCCTTCCCAACTCCAATCGGCTCCTTCTCAAAGTCAATGTCAACCTATAAATAAAATTTTATCTCATCATAAGTTGAGTCAATGGGATCAAAAAGAATACGACGTGTTATGACATGAAAAAAAAATTGCACGATCTAATTACGTCAAGTTAATGCAACAAACAAAACTTGGGTCCTCAGTTGACCAACCTTACTCAAACTTGTATCATTTAAGACAATATATAAAATGACAATTCAGACAACAAGAACAATTTACTGACTAAAGCTGAATAGTCGAGACCAATATATAAGTAGTCCAATATACACAACACAGTAGACAAGTTAACAGCCCTTCCAGTGGTTGTAGAGAAGTCATAATATGAGACAACCAACCTACCTAGAATACATATATAAAGTATTTCACTATGAATTGTATGTGGACACCACTTCTACTTGCTCCACATTTAGTAAGTAGGATTTGAACCACAATGTATACATGGATTGATTGATCCACTATCATTCATGGACTTCCACATACAACATGAAATTGACACGGTGCAAACATATCATTACGGAAAATTCTTCGAATATGAGAAATGGTTTTACTGCATTACAACAATGCATGAATGCACACATAATAATTTGCTCCCTCGTTGTCACATTTCCCCCATGCTAAAAACCCAGAGCCATCTCATTCAAATTACAGGAATGACTCAAGTTTTAAACAATTTTGACATAATCACTAATTATGTATTCTTTTTTAAGCCCTCATTCCATAGGTTATATAAATAACATTTCGCAAGCCAAAGGAACATTAGACATGATAGGGAGGGTATGAGAAGTAACAACACATGTCAAAAGTTACCAAGAGAATCCAAAAGATTTGGTGTAAAACACATCTCCAGACTCTTCATAAGTAGTATCCTCAATACACAAAGTAAGTATCCATCGTATACCAATGCAAAAGTTAAGACCATGCACCAGCCAACTTGGGTTATTGGTCGCTAATGTAATGCTAAAGCAATGTCTAAATGTGGCAGCTAACAAAAATAGACTATTCTTAAGTGACCAATTAATACATTGATACAAAGTCAAAAGACTGTGTACCAAGTGACCAACCCTACTTGGATTATAAGTAATTTATGTGAAACTAATGCTAGCTGCCAACCTAGATGGTGAAGCTATGAAGCACCTGTGATGACTGGGTACGTTATTTGTCTCGTTCCCTTTGGTTTAAATCTTGGATTTGTTGTATTCGGAAGCTTACTTCAAGATCCTTGCTTTTATTTACTTCTATGTCACGTTTCTCTCGTTTTGGAAGGGTGCGAGGTTGAGCCTGGAGTGTCCGGTGTTGAGCTGGGAATATTTCCTGGTTGGGAGGGGGGGGCTAAGCCGCACGTGCGGGGCCTTGGGCCACACATGCGGGAAGGGGGCCGCACGGGCGGAAAACAAGGGAAGCTCTGGGTTGGTCCTGCATTATGCAAGTACAAGAGGATGTGCAGAATAGAAGATCCGCACGTGCAGGGATGAGGGCCGCACGTGCAGGAGGCACGCTCCGCACGTGCGGGGATAAGTGCCGCATGTGCGGGACGGTCTGTGTCCGAAAATCAGATTTTTCCTTCTCTTTGGGTTGAGTGCATATCATTTTTGTATATCTCTCTCACTCTAAAATCAACTTTTGCTCCTCCTCCTCTCTAAAAACCTCCACCAAACTTCTTAAACCCTTGATTTCTTCCAATCCATTGGGGTTTTGACCTATCATCCTCCACAAATATTGGAGAGCTAAGCAAGAGCTACATTATGTGCGGTGGAGATTGAGTTTTGGCACCGTGGATTTTGGGGGTTTCATTTCATTTTCTTCTCCAAACTTGAGGTAATGATTTCCTTTGAGTTATATATATATTTTTGCAAGATCTAGATGATTTTCGAAATTCCACTTTAATAGCTTGAAATTTGGTTGTTGGCTCAAGAAGATGAGTGATTTTGAAAGGGGGTTATCTCTTACTCTTTTTTTTAAATAATCACTTGAGGGTTTTAAATTATATTGGTGTGATTCTTTCAAATGTTTTAGAGGTATAAGGTTGTTGTGAGAAAACCTAGAAATTTGAGGGTTTTTAAAAGATGTTGAGAATTCATGGATGAAATGGCCATATATTTTTCTTTGGGTGCCAAAATGAATGAATGTTATTTTTTTGAAAAGTTCTTATTTACATTTATATAAATGATGAGTTTCATGAAATATAAGAATTGTGATTTTTGAAAGTGGTTGTTCAAAATGTTGATATAGTCTTGAAATGACTAAATTGTCGAGAATATTCGAAATGTGGGAAATGTGTTATTTCTTGGATGAATTGGAATAAAAGTATATATATTCATCATGAGAAATTGCATTGAAAAGAGGATTGGAAATTTTTATCACAATGGTAATATTGTGTGGAAGGATGGAAAATGGAAGGAATGTTGCATTACATTATTAATTGACACATTGACATATCCATTCATTTGATTATGTTAAGCTTTGAATTTAAATTTGAAAACTTTTGCATTGAGAAATGAATGTTTCGAAACAAGTTTTTATGGAATGATTTTGGGGTAAATACGTTGGTAAGTCCGGATAGGAGGTGTAGATGAAATTGATTAAGTTGGCCTGAGTGTCCGGGGTGAAAGACCGAAAACACGCGCAGACGAGGTACCACTTCCCTTCCGGTGAGAGACTGGTAAAGTGGGGTTTTGGTGGTGCTAGCTATGTTAACCTGCAGACACCAACTTAGGGATTACCTAAGTCATATTTACCGCCCCCTTGAGTTAATTGACAAATTTTGAGTTTGTTGAAAATGTCAAGATATCATTGAACATGATGGTTTTTCAAAGGATGAGCAAATGTGATTTTCTTTCGAAAAGAGTATAACATGGCATATGTATTTCATTCCTTGAGACTTGTATAAAATGTATTTACTTTGTTAAGAATTTTCTACTAGGCTTTATACTCACCCTATGGGATTTTGGTGCAGGAAAAGGCGTGGTGATCCCGCCAAGTTAGGGTGTGGACGTATATGTTGGGAGCATAGGGCTCTTAGTTTTGTTGTGGTGTATTTTTGTTAGCCAAGGGCTATAACTGTTTGGGTCCGAAAGACCATTTTTGTGTAACCGGGCTTAAGCCTTGGAAATGTGTAAGCCCTTAAGGACATTTTATTTATTTTTGGATTTGATGTTCTACATGCTATAGTGTAATAACCCACATTCATGTCTTAGTCATGTTCATGTACATTTGCATGATTTTGTCTTGTTAAGCTTGCATTTGCTGACTTTGACTTGTTTTGCCGAAGTAAAGGTCCCTGTCTTGTTTTGTGCTTATGTGATTTGCCTAAGTGTTGTATGCATGTTTTGTTCCTTCCTTGCTGTCTCAAGCCTAGGTCATGTCAAGCCTAGGTCATGCCAAGCCTAGGTCATGTCAAGCCTAGGTCACACCTTTGAACCTCTTACCCCTAGGACCATCTTGGAACCATTTTGGTTGACCTCCCCATCACCTAGGCATATTGGCCAAGATGTCATCATCTAGGCCGAGATGTGCATCACCTAGGCCGAGATGTTATCATCTAGGCGTCCTAGATCCTTGATCCTTGCACCTAGTGATCTTGTTCCGGGACTGGAATGACCTAGACCGAGGTATGGCACATCTAGGCCGAGGTGTGGCACAGCTAGGTCAAGTGTTATCCTTCCTAGCCGAGGTCATTGGAACCTTACTTGCCGAAGCCTATGTCCTAGGCCGAGATCATTACCTGCCGGAGTGCACATGCCACCTTGCTTGTCATACACACTTTGTCATACACTTGTCTTGTCTTTCAATCACCTTTTGAGGAGAACCAATCCGGAAGTGCCACGTGTCCCAGCAGAGGGTTAAATCAGCCAGTAGAGAGAGAAAACCTATCATTTCTATATCTTTGTTTTAGGTAGAGAGAGAAGCTCTAGGAAGAGGAAGAGGAATTCTAGAGAGAGGTAGATTTCCAAGCTTGATCTTCACACCTTGAACCGTTAGATCCGTGTTTTGAGGTTAGATTCTTGGTCTACTCTTGTTGTTCTTATTGTTCATCTAGCTGCATTGCATGATCTAGCATGTTTTATGAGCCATGCATTGCTTTGAAGTTCGGTTTTAGAAAGAGAAAGTGATATTCATGTGTTCTTGAGGAAAAGCCATGTTTTGATCCGAAAGTTTGTGTCAAGATCCATGTTTTCGTATTTGTTTTCATATGATCTTCAAGTATGGGTACCAAGCTCCATGTTTTCGAACTCATAACATGAAATCCCAGATTTTATAATAACAAGTTATGATTTTAGCATTCATGTTCTTCATTTTCCTCATGTTCATGTTCTTCATGTCCTTCAAGGAGGAAACCCAGATTTCCAGACCTCATTTCCCTAGGTGTGATCACCGAGACCACTCTTGCCTAGATCCCACACATAGGCCAAGCATCGTATCTCACCTTGGCCTACCTTGCACGATCACTTGCACCTTAGTCTATCTTGCATGCACACCTAGGCTAACCACTGCATCACCTAGGCCAAGATGTTCATCATCTAGGCCGACCATGGTACACCCTTGCCGGCATCTTGTAACACGTCCGCAGAGAGCTGCACACCGAAGCCTAGGTAACCACACCTCGGCCAAGAGGTGTGGGACCTCGGCCAAGACCTCTTGAGTTCACCCAGCTAGGTTATTTTAGCCTAGATCATCCCTGTGCATCCATTCCAGGACCTGGTTGGTACTCAGCATGTTTTCCCTAGATGAAAAACAGTGTTTTAACTTCCAGCATTTGCATTCATGTGAAGCTTGTTTTTAAGAGTGCATTCAATAGACTTTGACATGTGTTTGTAGGACTTGGACCTTTGCCTTGATCCCGACGTTCCAAGAACTAGGTGAGTGGTATTTCTAATAAAGATATGTTCTTAAGGTTTTGATAAAGCTTTGCTTTGGTTTGATAAAAGTATTTATGAAGCATGAATGATATCCCTATTATATATATCAAGTATAAGCTTTGTTTTGATAAAGCTTTGCTTTGGTTTGATAAAAGTATTTGTGAAGCTGAATGATATCCCTATTATATATATCAAGTATAAGCTTTGTTTTGAATGACAAGTTATCAAGTATAAGCTTTGTTTTAATGTCAATCTTTGAAAGTCCGTACGTGCTAGGGGACTTTAAGCGTTAGTAGCACACATGTGAAGTCCGTACGTGCCAGGGGACTTTAAGCATTAGTGGCACAAGTCCGTATGTGCTAGGGGACTTTAAGTATTAGTAGCACACATGTTAAGCAAACAAGTTTTGAAGGACCAAGGTTATGCCGAGGTTATGTTATAAGTTTTGACGCGTGTTAAGTATGTAAGTTTTGCAAGATTAAGTTTGATGAACAAAGATTTATCTCATGTTTTGTACAAGCTATGATAGGTTTTGAGGGACCAAGGTTATGCCGAGGTTATGTTATGAGATTTGACACGTGTTAAGTATGTGAGTTTTGCAAGACCAAGTTTGATGAACAAAGATTTATCTCATGTTTTGTACAAGTTATGATAAGTATGGTTTTGACTAGATATATTATGTATTGTTTTGTAAAGACCACGGGAATCATTCATTTAACCCCTTTATTACTTGTACCATTCACTGAGTATCCAAGCTCACCCTCCCTATGTATATATGTAGGTAGCAAGCTAAAACTCGGCTACGCCGAGATGTGTGTTTTACAAGGTGTTTTGTATGCATGTTATGTCGGCAGTGAGGACGTCGACAATCTTGAAGCTTTTGTATTTTGAACATGTCGGCTTGGGAAGCCCTTTGTTAAGATGTAATGTGTATTTTGTACTTTGTATTCAAGTTTTAAAGCTATGTAAAGATGTATGCTATTTCATTTGACTTATGCACTGCTCTTACGGACCACTTGTATGTTGAATTATTGCTTCCGCAATTGTGAGCCCCATATATTTATACTCTGATTGTGTGTGAACTTTGGAAGTTGGCCTTCGGTAATTACGGATTACTGGCCATCACGGCACCAAACTACTAGGGGTGGTTTGGGGTCGTGACACCAAATATATCCAAAATAAAATTTAAGGGGCTCCTTTGGATTTGTTGTCCGTGATTCTACCACCAGGACCAGGTAGTGATTTGCTCCGGAATTGGATCCTCGGTCGCACTCCCCTACCGCCCTCCAAAACGACGTCGTTTTGGAGGTTTTTTTTTTTTCTTTTCGTCTTCTTCTTTCTCTTGACCCTCCTCTCCAACACAGAACCAACCCATTTTTGCTCTGAATTGCACAGCTATGATTTGAACCCATTGCAATACCTTCAAATTCGATGGTAAATGAGAAGGAACATCAAGCTGTCCACTTGAATTGCTTCCTTTGCAAATCAAAATCCCAGTCTGTGTCAATCCACAAGCATGAGACACCCCAGCTGTCCACTTGTTGGGTTGTCGGAAATCCAACTTGATTATCTTTGTATTCACATGAGTATTGATACTTGTCGTCCACCTACATCAAGATCACTATTACAAATGACACAAGCAATTTCTTTACTTGAGTTACAAATTTAAATAAAACTAACAAATAAGTTTTACAATTAGAAAAATGCTTTGGAATTCTAATTTTTGAGCTCTAAAGGTAACTCTAATGAGTTGGCAGTGAGCTCCACCCACAATGATGTGATGCTTTAGTCTTGGTTTGTTTTTATTTTTATTTTTTTGTTTATTTCCATATCATTAGTGCTCCATTAGAGCACCAAAATTAGTGGTCAGAATCATTACTGTTACAATTACAGTTTAAGTTCCAATTAAATACAATACAATACATATTATTAACAATTATTAAAAAAATATTTAAAAAAAATATGTAAATTAAATTTTATTTAAATGTGACCGCACTGCATTTATAGTCGGCCTCGAGGAACATTAAACTCCCCAATTATAATAAAATTTAAGAGATTTCAAATAATTTAAACCTTTATAATATATAATAGGTTAAAAAATGATGTATCAAATTTATTAGAGAGCTGCTATATATTATTTTTTGTTTTAAACATTTTTTTATATCATTGATCAATACATGCATGTTAAATATAATATAATCTATTAGTATTTGCTTTTTCTAATACTTATCTCTAAATAAAAACGATTAGAAATAAAACTACCCAATAATCACAAACTTAACTTTTTTCTAAGTATAAAAAGTTCCATTTTAAAAGTAGACTACCTACCTCCCCTTTGAGGAGTGAATTGGCTGGGTTAGTCAATCGAACAGCCTCTGGGTAGTCAAGTGCCACACCCCTTATCCGATCTTCCGGCATTGGCATCTCCGTTTGCCTCTGCTCCGATATTGCCATGTAATGAAACCTGTTCATTATCCATTCATTCATTATTTATCAATCTAGATATATAGATTAAAAAATATAGATACTTATTTCTTTTCAATTAAACTCGATGTTCACCTCAAAATTCTATGAGTAAAGTTGCGGGTAGAATTTAGATTGACATTGAGGCAAATTGAAGAGAAATTTTTTAGCAAAACAATTTCAGGTTTATAGTGATAATCATGATTTCAATGAACTTATTCAACTCAAATTACTTGTTTTCTTATATTCACTTCAGGCATTCCACTTGGGCGATCAAATATTCCATAAGAATAGAATCCTGCACTGTCACTGCAAGAAAATCGAAAATTAGCGGCGTTTTTAAAACGCCGCAATAGTCTATAAAAACGCCGCAAAAAAATAAAACGACGTTTTTTAAATTCGTCGATGATGCGGCCGTCGTTGTATCTTTGTGACGTTTTAAAAACGCCACTAAAGACTTTAAACGGCGTTTTCTAAAACGCCATTAATTCTTAAGTGGCCGTTAACTATGCACGTTAAAAGAGTTATCTTTGACGCAGTCATGACGACATTTTGCGACGTTTTTGAGAAAAACGCCGCCATTTCCCTAATTTTTTTTAAAAAAAAATAAAAAATCATAATTAATGATTTTTGACTTTTGTCCAAACCAAACCTATATTATCCATCACCATTCTCAAAATATATACATAATGTGAATGAGCATTTATTTTGCAATTTTCCATAAAAAAATAAAATAAAAAATAAAAACCCTTAAAATACAATGATAATAATAACAATAACAATAATAATATTCAGTGTGCTCTCCAATTCTTTGAAAAAAACTTCATCCACAGCTCTCTTCAGCTTCATCAAGTCATCCATCATCTTCACCAAAATGATGATTATATACCTGAATCATCCAATTCCAATAACACAATTTCAATAAACTTGAATGGTTGAAAAATCTACATACTCTTGCATACCATGTCAAGAAGGCTAGAAAGATAAGAAACTATGAAATTTCCAAGTGGATGTAAAATGAAAACTTTTTTATTTATACATCGTATTCACAATATGCGTACTTTGAAAGTTTGGTTTCATCAAACAGCCATTAATATAACATAGAGCAAAAGCATCAGCAACCATGAGAAGAAAAAATCAAAAAGTAATACCAATTATATACCAGTCTATGTTTACTCACAATAGGTTTACCAGTCTAATATCTATGCCATTGTCTATTTCAACACACAATAATAAAAAATGAGTTTAAAATTTCAGAAAACATTGAAAGTACTCAACAACATTAGTTATTAACTTTAGCAATCCTAAAATTTAGAATTTGATTATGCTAAATACAATATAGATTGTGCACAAAATAAATAAAATAAAATAAAAACAGAAGAAAAGATGAGAGTTGCAATAACCTTTGAAATACAATTCAAACTATATGGTAAATTGATCTGTAAGTAGGTATAATACAGAATGATCGTCATTACTAAGCACTTGGTATATGATGGAACTACACGATGAGGATTGAGAAATTGCGATGGGAAGTACAAGTAAAAACTATGAAGAGATTTAATTACCTAAAAATAGCCTTCTTGGCCTTTTCAAATAACAGTCTTCTATCAGGAACTTTTATCTGTTGCATGACCTCTGTGTCACTCCTTAAATCAATCTCACACACTACTTTTTATTCCCCCAAAACCTTTGATGGTTTGATGCCGCAAAGATCCAACCTTTGAGTTGATAGGAAACCTCTCTTAAGAACTTGGGAAATCTTGCTTACACAAAATTCAAATTTATATAACATCGAAACAATAAGATCTACCACACAATACAATTTTCTTCACTTCTCCCTTAAAGGTCATAGAATCCTCCAAATGCCCATTTTATTTTTCTAATAATAATGATAAAGTGTCCCATATTGCTCTCCCTATTGTCTCCTACACAAACTTCTAAAACTGCTAAAACTATGGGAGAAAGTAGTTGAACAAAGATTAGGATATGCAACAATAGTTTTAAATGAGTAATATGGTTTGATGCTGCAAAGATCCAACCTTTGAGTTGATAGGAAACCTCTCTAAGAACCTGGGAAATCTTGCTTACACAAAATTCAGATTTATATAACATCGAAACAATAAGATCTACCACACAATACAATTTTCTTCACTTTTCCCTTAAAGGTCATAGAATCCTCCAAATGCCCTATTTTATTTTTCTAATAATAATGATAAAGTGTCCCATATTGCTCTCCCTATTGTCTCCTACACAAACTTCTAAAACTGCTGAAACTATGGGAGAAAGTAGTTGAACAAAGATTAGGATATGCAACAATAGTTTTAAATGAGTAATATGGTTTGATGCCGCAAAGATCCACTATGGAAGCTATTTTTCTAATTAATCGACTAATGAAAAAATATAGGGAAAAGAACAAATATTTCCATATAGTGTTTATTGACTTACAAAAAGCATATAGGGTTATTATGACAAAATCTGTAGATGGTATGGAAATTGATCCAAAGTGAAGATAATTGATCCAAACGACTACCTTGACCATATCAGAACTAGTGAAGATAATTTTCCAAAGTGACAGTTGTTCAAAGTTAAATTTTGTTTGACATTTTCAGCATATAAAAATAGATTACTGATGTTGGACAAGTGTGATGAACAGTGTCTTACAGGCATCAGCAATAAAAGGGGCTTTTTAGGGATGAATATTGTTAGTCCTTTCGTAAATCATGGAGTTTTCTACATTCATAAATGGAAAAGGAAACTAAGAGTTTGGGGTCAAAAAACACACCAGGTGTACTTTACCTCCTCTGTGGTGGGCATATAGTCCACATCAAGCTGGTTGAGACTTGCTTCACAACATTGTCGCACATAGTCAGGGGTACCCTTGACCTCAACATGAGTCCAATCAACTGAGATAATGCCACATTTTGTGGCTAACTGAACTTGTTCTCGAGGGAGCTACTTCAGTGCCTGTATTGGAAAAGAGTATTTTTCTGATAATTTGTTAACATAATGCAAGTAGAAGCATATGTTGTCCATGATATGCGTATCTCAGCTGAACCTATTCTTTTGCCATATGAATAATAAATACAATTAGATATTCTAATATACTTACTTTATTAGGTCAATCGTGTGGTTTATGCTTCCTTTCCTTCTTCACTTTCTAAAGTTATAATCCAAATATTCCCACTTAAAAGCTTTGCTAAACGGCCTCTATGTAATTAGTCAAACAAACATCTAGAAAATATTGGTCCCTAACAAAGAAAATGAAAACTAACCTTGCCAATCATGATCTTATTGTCATGTTTTTGTCCATAGACATCTGTTGTATCAAAGAAGGTGATACCCTTATGAAAAGCCTCCTTTAAAATTGAACATCCAGCTTCATGGGAGAGTGGAGCATTTAGTATTCTAGAAAGTCCCCTACATTCGAAGCCCAATCTAGAAACCTGCAGAACAAAATGGACACTGTCACATGGAAATATTTGTTTTTCACATTGAACCAAAACACAAATAATGAACCAGGCCATGACAAGCAGTCAACGAAAGTCAGATAATAATTGGAAAGCATCGATTCAACCCCCTGGCCCCCTCAATATGGAACAAATATACTTAGCTTGTGTTGTGTACCATTTTTAGCATGGAACCGACAAAGAAAGTTGTGGCATTACCATTACCCATTCAAAAACCATTACACAATATTCAATTGAAACATGGTAATTGCCATTACTACTGTATACTGACCATCATTTGCTTCCTCTTTTGTTTCATCTCCTGATTTCCAGACAATATCTTTCAAACCAGTTGCGAAGCTCTTGTAGAACTGTAATAAAGAATGTGCAATGTCGAGCTTAAAAATTATAGTTAACAGGATACAAAAACAACAAATGTGCACGAAGGGGATTCCATGACATGGGACAATTGTGCACAAAAAGGTAGCAATTTGGTTGAACTTCCAGTAAGGACAAGCCACAAAGCCTACAGTTAAAATTTCTGGAAGCAAAACAGGTGGATGACAAGGATATGCCACTGTCCAATAGCAAATCACTAGCTTTTGCTAATTGTAAAATCCAAAATTTTTTATGCAGAGCTTCATTAAGTGCCATTAGCATGAATAGTAGGGTGCATAAAACCAATAAATAAACAATTGCATAAGCATTAAAACCAAGTGTACGTGTGTAACCATTGCAATGAGATTTCAGAACCATACCTTATGAAATTCTAAGGTGTCCTCTCCAGCCTTGCGAAGCTCAACCATGCAAAGTGAGGGAGCCACCTCATAAATCTATAGGACATTATTTTCAGACCCAGTTTTAAACATTGCTTCACATGATAGTCTAGTGATTTTTCACTCAGCAGGTGGCCCCTGAAAGATCATACCTCTGTTACAACAGATAAATGACCCTTGCGCCCAGTTTTCTCCCCTTGAAGCTTCAGCTCAGGGTCTGTCCAATATAATAGAGATAGTTATTAGTCATTCAACTATTAACTATTGGAAACATACATCATCAAACAAGTTAAAAAACTAAATATTAGCTGGTTCATTCATGATATGAGATAGGAACTCTGACTTAACTGAAAAAAATGCATGGAATGCTTAGATTCTAAAGATCTTTACATCTGATAGCTCAGCTACCAAAGCATAACAATCAAAAAGCTATAAGCCTCTGACGTACCATTTTCTTTTCAAACAGAGAACTGAGGTTAAGACCCTAAGATTTAGATATAAGTATTCAAAAGCGTTTATGGAGACAGGATTCACAGGTTGTTCTTTTCGTCTTTCCACGACAAGGTTTTGAGTGTCCTGCACATCAAAACAAAAATCACAATTAAAGTCACCCCCAATGCCCTATTCCTCAAATACCTTATGAAATTCAATTTTTTTGTTTTTGGTTGAGGAAAATAGAACTAAATGACCAAACTATCAACATAAGAGTGAAATTACAATAACTACAAGGGTAATTTGCCTTTAAAATTAAAGACCAAACATAGCACTC